GGGGGACGTCGGCGGCGCCCGCACGCTGCAGAAGAAGTGGACGACCTTCCTGAAGGCTCGCTTGGTGTGCTCGGCGCCCGAGCAGCAGCTCCATTTCAACCGCCTCCAGGCCGTCTTCACCCTGCCGGGGGCCGATTGGCAGGACACCGCCTTTTTCGGGGTCTTCCAGGCCCGCTGGTGAGTCCGTGGGGACGCGGCAGCCCCGGGGTTCCCCGTGACCGGCGGCTCCCCCTAAAAAACCTGCCCCGTCCCTCGCAGGGGGGACGTGGATGTCTCGGCTATTTGCCGGTACCACATCCTGGAGGTGAAGAAGGCGTTCGAGGGGCCCTACAAGGAATACCGGGAGCAGGCGCAGAAGTGGGGCCGGTACTCGGACGAGGTACCGAGCCCCCGTCCCGGTGCGGTGAGTGCCGGCAGCGGGGGTGGGAGGGGAGAAGAGGGTGCGGGATCCGACCGCGCGCCTGACGGTGCCCTCCGTCCCCAGTGCATCACCGACTGGCACCGCCAGAACGGCTTCGCCAGCTCCCTCGAGCTGCCCGACAACACCCTCAACTTCGCCAAGAAGCACCCGCTGATGGACGAGCCCATCCTGCCCCACCGCGGGCGCCCGCTGCTCCTCAAGAAAGACGCCAACTTCACCCAGCTGGTGGTAGACCGAGTGCCGGGGCTGGACGGCACCGTCTATGAGGTGCTCTTCATCGGCACAGGTACCCGCCGGGGTTGGGGAGGAAGCCGGGGAGGGGACCGCGGAGGGCTCCGGGCGTGGGGACGTCCCTCACCGCCCGCCGTGACCCGCAGGTGACGGCTGGGTGCACAAGGCGCTGAACCTGGGGGCTCGAGTCCATCTGGTCGAGGAGCTGCAGGTTTTCGAGCCGGCGCAGCCCGTGGAGAGCCTGGTCCTGGCTGGTCGGAAGGTGAGCGGCGCGGCGGGGAAGGGGCTGGCGCCCCGGGGTGTCACCTCGCCGTGTCACCTCGCCCCTTCTCCCTGCCCCTCGCAGAAGCTGCTCTTCGCCGGCTCCCGTTTCCAGGTGGCCCAGTTGCCCCTGGCCGACTGCGGCCGCTACCAGTCGTGCACGGACTGCGTCCTCGCCCGGGATCCCTACTGCGCCTGGAGCCGCAACGTCAGCCTCTGCGTCCGCGCCGACGGCCTCAACGGGTAAGGGGGTTGCCCGGGCAGGGGGAGGACACCCGCACGGCGTGTGTCCCCCCCCCCCCCCCGCCGGTGCCGCGTGGCGCGTGG